GTACAGCTAGCTCAACAAACCATGGTTTGCAAAGGTCAGGCCGTGGGTTGTGCACGCCCTCCATGCTCTCTGTGTTACTCCAGACCATCCTTCTCTGCCCCTCCCCCTGTTTTCTCCGGTCTGGCCTGGGAACTTGGGTCGCCTGCTTGTCTTTGAATTGGGGTGTTGGCAGGAAACCCCTCCTGAGAAGGAAGGGATCCACCCCAGAACAGAGATTTCCTCTGCAGTGGTATTTTTAGTGAAACACAAAGCATGTGGAAAGGAACAGGAGGTCGGAAGGAGATTAAATCAGGATGGGCTGCTCCGGGCCTGTTTTTGTTCCCGGGGACCTGTGTGTGAAGTGCCGTGGTTTTCTGGACCAAAGAAGCGGCAGATTCCCAGCAGGGCAGGCGGGGACCTTGCCAGGCAAAGGCATTTTGCTCCAGACTTCAAAGGTGGAGGAGTTAAGGCTTTGGAGGCAAAGCCCACACAATTATGTTGCTGGGCCTCATGTTTTCTGCGAGATGTAGAGATGATACCAAGGAGCGGCAGAAGGTTATTGGCAGGATGAAAGAATATTTCTAGCCCAAATCCATAAGCTCTATTAAAGAGGGGTTTTGTGGTGGGGGCATGATTTTGAGCATGATTTGCCATCTTGGCAGCTTCCAGATATGTGGACTTCAACTCCCAGAATTCTCAGCAATGTTCACGGGGCAGGAGAAGTCTGGGAGGCGAAGTCTACCCATTTGGAGGTTGCTTGGATCAGATAGCACTGAAATGGAGGCAGCAGTAGGACAGGCAAAACAAAGAGTGTGACCTCTGCTCACCCATGCTTTGTTTAACCATGGTTCATTCAATAAATCATAACTGAGTTTGCAGAACACAATATGCCATAATGTCTGTGACAATATCTACACAATCTATTATATCATAGCTTAATGTAAAAGTAGCTGTTGTGTGTCTGAAAAGACATTTCACCCTCCCAGAATTTCTAACACAATGACAGCATCCTTTAGATTGCTCAACCTGGAATAATTGAAAACCTTGGTTTATTTCTGACTGAATTGTCTCCCCTTGCCCATCATTGAAAAATAACCACAGAGGCTGCAGTGCTGAAGCAGAGTGGGTGGCAGGAAGTTCTATAGGACTGTAGTAGCTCCTCATATGGAGTTGTGGTGTGGTGTTTATGGGGACCCCCCCCCCCTTTAACAGCCATGCAACTTCCCTGCTCGCTGCTTATATAATGTGTGCTGGAATATAATCTGGAAAGAGTTTTGTTTTTCCAATGTAGCTTCTTTTATTCTGGGTCTTAAGAGGAGAACTTTCCTCTCTCTTTCAGGGACTCCTAAGAATATGAAATGCCTGTAGACCAAACGGGCTCTTCCCTTCTGGGGTATTGACTTTTCTAATCCTGGCTGGAGTCCAGCAGATCAGGCTCCCTTCCCGCCCAATCATTTACTTGTGGCTTCCGTGGAGAGCATTTGAACCACACTCGGCTCTGGATTTCACATTCCTCTGAGGGTGTTTTAACACCATTAACTGCTTGGTGGAGCTCCATTGCCCTCTCGGCGAGGTGCTTTGGAACTGGAATTGTGTACCACTCAGCATTGTGTTTGTGAGAAGCAGCCCATAAGGCCCATACAATGAGCATAGATAGGTAAAGGGATCCGTGTCTGACCAGGGAGCTTCAGAGATGGAAAGTCCTCAGAAAAGATCAGACTAGTTTTCTGATGCACTTGGTGAGTTTTAAAAGCTCCCAAGTGAATAGCAAATTCCAAGGCAGTTTGAAGATTGTTCCGAGTCCTCTTCCTGATTCTCTCTGGCTATTTTCCTGGAGAGGGGAGCCCCCTTACCAAGGGAACCCAAGGCTTTTATTCTTGTTGGATTATAAAACCAGGACTATGAGCTTGATAGGCATCAGTAGCTGTCTCTTGGCCCCATTGTATCCAGGCAGCCCATTGCTTAGGTCTGTCTTGGAGAAGGTCATGAGAGCAGGAGCTGAAGTCAGGCAATTGATTCTCCATGCGTTTTTCTTCCCTAAAAGAACATCTGAGATCAGTTAACCAGGGCAGGCGGCACATGGATCTTCTCTGGCTTGAGTTTTATACTGTACTTTCAAACAAAGCTAGAGGTCATCATGGATTGATGCAAAAATATTGAAGATTCAAAAGGGTTTGCAAACCTGTAAGCCCCGCCATATGCTGCATGCTCTTACTCCTTGGCTTTGGGGGAAATCTTCCATTGTTCAGTATAGTACCCCATCTACTGCGCTGGTGACACATTTGGAGCCAGTTCACATTATAAAAAAGATGTTGAGACCCTAGAAAGAGTGCAGAGAAGACCAACAAAGATGATTAGGGGACTGGAGGCTAACCCTCATGATGAACAATTGAGAAACTAGGAATGTCTATTCTAATGAAGAGAAGGACTTGCGGAGATATGATAGCAGTCCTCCAGTACTTGAGGGGCCGCCACAAAGAAGAGTGGGTCAACTTATTCTCCAAAGCACCTTGGGACAGGACAAGAAGTAATAAATGGAAGCTTAACAAAGAAAGATCCAACTAGAACTAAAGAGAAATTCCCTGACATTGAGAACAATTAATCAGTGAAATGTTTTGTCTTCAGAAGTTGTGGGTGCTTCATCACTGGAGGTTTTTAAGAGACCAGACAGTCATTTATCTGGAATCATATACTGTCTCTTCAGGAGTGGGTTTCTGCCGGCATTACTGCACGTTCGGTGTGCATGCATTTTTTCCAAATTCCTACCGAATTCTACCAAACTGGTGTGAACCAGTAGGAACCCACCTCTGGGTGTCCTGCTTGAGCAAGGTTTGGACAAGAAACCTCCAAGGTCCATTCCAACTCTGTTATTCTGTCCCTTCTGCCTCCCCAGGAATCTCTGTTGGCTTCCTGTCTTACCTGCTTACACATTTAAATTGACACATTTAAAGCAACCTCCGCTTTGTTAGGCTCTTTTGCAAGCTGGTTCTGGCCATGTGAAGATTATCAGGATGGACTGGGATTCACAGCAACTCCATTTAAGCAAGAGGGGTCCGAATTGTTCTGCCAACGGTGTTCCCACGTGGGATTTCTTCAAGCATCATTCCTGCCCAGTTGTCTTTGGCTTCTGTAGCACTCTTGCATCAGATGCCTTCAGATGATGGCAGTTCTTCAGTTACAGAGAGTAAAATTGCTGCTCCAGATGTTCCAACTGGCAGGACCAAAGGTCCAGGCTGAGGAGGGTGGAATAATGAATGCTGCATCAAAGGCTCTTAATACTGTATTGATACAGTATTAAAACAATACTGTATACTGTATATAAATAAATACTGCATATAAAAATACAATATTAAATAAGAGGGATATGGGGGACCCCTTGCAGGGTAGAGCTGAAGACTATGCCCAGTTCTTGGCGGACAAAGTTGCTCGGTTTC